AGGAAGGAAGGAAGGAAGGAAGGAAGGAAGGAAGGAAGGAAGAAAGAAAGAAAGAAAAAGTTAGTTCACTTGGTCAAAACCATTTAGTAGAATATGACTTGTTACTACTATTTTACTATTCAGTGTCACTTTTGAACACCGTACTCTCTTCGCAATACGTACGCAGTGTGATCAGACAGTGTCGTGTAATTTTAAAGCACAGATAACAGAGTGGAGTCCAAGACGCTTCATCAAAGATGAAACCTCAGAGCAACCTATCAGTGAGCTGGACAGTGAATAAGGAGGACAGAAGAGGAACTGATGCCTTTGAGCTGTGGTGTTGAAGAGGACTGAACAGCCCATTTACTGTCAAAAGAACAGACAGATACATCTTGGAGAGAGTGCAGCCACAGTGCTCCTTGGAGGCAAAGTCAACCACTCACTAGGGACTGAAACAGACTAGCAAGCCTTGTGCATCCCATCTGCCTTTTCCCCTTTTGGTTCATCTTCAGCCTTAAGACGTGGCATACCCTGTTTCCTACAAGGCACAGACTCAAACTTATCTAGGATAAAATATTTCACCTTCTTTTTCCATGTACTTTCCCTCAATGCCTACATTCAGTCAGGGGGATGAAATACTACTCTCAATCTGAGTTCCTTCACATCTGATATAACCATCTTTCTTCTCACAATACTCTAAGCTTTTGTAATCTTTCTCCTTTATTTCACCCACGATTTTTTCTTCCTCTAATTTCATGTCCCTCCATCATAACCTCTGATCTTTTTCTACACTACTACCAAAGAAATTTTGTCATCAGGACTTCTCCATGGCCTCAGAGACAAAGTCTGCATCCATTTTACTGTATTGCCTGCAATTGGGAGCTGGTGGGGAAGGGTGGCTGAGAGGGTCAAAGTATGGTGCCCGCTGCTGCTGCTTCACTCTGCCCTCAGTTCGTACCTCTTCGGTCTCTGCACATCTCTTCAGGTAAGTGCTGTGCTCAATTACAGGTGTGTCCTCTTGGCTGTAAATTTCTCAAGGGCCAAGGCTATAACTTACTCATCTCTGATAACCTTGCAAGCATTCATTAATTGCTGATGGAAATAGTCCGTGTATATAAATTACATGTTCCCGGAGACACGGAGCACCATCCATACCTCCTTATTCTGGGCGTTCTCGGAGGGGACCGGCACAGGTTCTGCCACACTTCCAGGACACACAGCCATCTGATTCACTGCATCTTTATTTCTAAGATTAAAAAGCACCAACACCCCAGAATGACTCACAGTATTTTCATTATGCTATTGAAGAGCAGAGGATTATCAGAGAAAACTCATAACCCCAAAGGTCTAGATCTACAGTGGTCATATATGTAACATCTCACCTTCATTTAAATGAAATGTAAACAAGAATTATCTGGCAAACCAGCAAAAGGAAATGCTCACCGGATGAAAATGATTTTCACTTTGGAAGGGGCACATTTGATGATAGATGAGGCATTCTGATGGCTTCGTCCATATAATATCTGACCATTGATCTGTGAAAAATATGGATCACTAAGTAAGCCTGGGATTTTCAATTTTACTCTTTCATCATTTTATCTAGCCAATAAAAAATTATAATTTCTTCTCTCTCTCTCTCTCT